TGACAAAGTGTGATGAAACCAAAGGCTGTTTCCTTGGCTTTTAGTATGTATGACCAGTCCAGAATCTGGACTCAAGGTTGACCCCTGCCGATGGGGTTAGAAAATGGGGGAATGGTGCAGACCCCTGATGGAGTTAGCAGGGATGGTACTTGGAGGGGGGAGACAGATGAGGTCTCCCTCCATAGGGTAACAGCATGTAGCGAAAGAAGGCTGAGCTTTTGCTACAAAGTTTAAAAACATTTTGGCCCCTAGGTATCCATTGCACCATGGCATTATCACCCTTCCACTCCATCCCACCTCAGTACATCCAGCCCGTCCCTCCAGCTACCTTGAACTACTCTCAGGGCCTCGATTATAGATCATTTCTATACTCCTCATTTCCACAGGCTGACCCCTTTCCCTAAAGTCCCCTCTCCCCCCTTCCCTACGTTCGAACTCTTACTTATCCTTCAAGACTCAACTCAGATATCACCTCCTCCAGGAAGCCATCAGAGGTCCCCAGTCTGATCTGGGTACTCCTCAAAGCCTACATAGCACATCTGCACTCCTGGCATCTATCCACACATCTCTTTCCTCAACAACACTGTGAGCCCATGGAGGACACATGTCACAGCTTAGCTTTACAATCCAGCAGCTAGCACAGAGCTTACTATATAGTTGGTACTTAATAGACACCAGTTGATTGAATGAATGAACCAGAAAATGAGCATATCCCCACTCAGGTAAGTGGTCGTGATAAGACATGATAATTATATTGTTAACAATTAATAACTGCTGCCACCAAATACAAAGACTATGCTGATCTCTTTATCCAAAGTACAACAACAGCTCTTGAATATTAAGCGCCTACTGCTGTCCAGGCACAGGCCAGTCCCTGCACACATGCTATCTTCTTCCCAGCTCCCAGAGGCTCAGAGAGTGAGGCACCTGCCTGAGGTGCACAGCCAAAAAGGGCCAGAGTCCCAGCCCTAAGCTGAGGTCTGCCTGACCCTCTCCCCTGGGCCGTGCCTCCTCCCAGAGAAAGTCACTGCTCCTTGTTCTTGGTGGCCCCTGACTGGCCTCTGTCAGCCCCTGTTCCCAGCCCCTCAGTCCCTCTTCCGAGGCCGCAGTGCCCAGATAGCTCGGCCTCCCAGCTCTGCATCCTGCCCCATTATTGGGAAGGCTGCTTTCCTCCGCCCCCAGGAGAACCTGGAAGGTCCAGAGCATGCAGAGCGTGAGGTCCACCACTGATGCCCAGGGAAATGACATGAACATTCAGAAGCAGGATTTACTTTGCCTGATGGCTGAGTGATTAACCCTTGTCCAGCTGCCACAAGGAGAGAAGCTGCAAATAAACATACCCTGAATGGGCCTGGAGAATAAACGCCAACGGCCGCCCCTCCACTATGCTCTTCTCTCCCCTGTCCGGTTTATTTCCTGACCATAAGACGAACTGGATGGAACGAGACTTTGGGACAGCTGGCACACCCCCCACAGGTCGTCCTTACCTGTTTCACTAGTCCTCTCAGGGCTCAGGAAGCACAGGTATCTGGGGAGCGCTGGGCACCCTGCTCCCCTCTCCCCTCTTCTGTCCCCAAAAGGAATAAATGCCCAGAGATTCCTTATTAGAAATACATTCCACTGGTGTTCCCTGGAGAAATTAAGCCAAGAGTCTTGGAGTGAGTGACCTAGGACATAAGAAGTCTTGGGGGCACCTGGTGAAGGTATTCATCCCCCAGATCTTTCTGGAACACTTACTACAGGTCAGGCTCTCTGCTAGGTGCTGGGGACAGCAGGGTAATCAGATATGATTCCTGCCGGGTCTGGAGGGGGGACAGACACAGACCAGTGGGTGTGATGACATGCACACTTGTGAGGACTGACACCAAGGGGTGGTAGAGGGGCAAGGAGGAGGAAGGCATCAGTTGTTTGGGGACGACGGGGAGGGGTGGGGTGATTACAAAAGAATCCAAAGCAGAAGAACCCCCAGGGCTGGAGGCTGAAGGATGAGTAGGTGTCCCCAGCAGACAATGCAGCAGGTGTGGGACAGGAGCAGAGGAAGGCAGAGAGAAGGCAGAGAGGCAGAGAGGCTGGAGGGCCGAGGGTCCAGCTGTTGTAAGCTGTTCTGCAGAGCTGGAGTATGTGGGACGAGAGAGGCTGTGGCAAGAGATAAGGCAGTGCCCAGGTGCAGGGCCTGAGGAACTCGGACCTCGTCCTGAGGACAGGTGAGCCACCGAAGGCTTTCAGAAGCAGGATGCTATGCTCTGAGTGGAGCTTTAGAAAGACAACTTTCGCTGTAGTCCAGAGGATGGATGCAGAGGGGAGGGAGCACAGAGCTGTAGGCCAAACGCCAGTAGGAGGCTGATGGCATTTAAAGGCAGCATTTTCCGGGGGGCCAAGCATAGTTTTAAGAGCTCCCCTACATATATATATGTATACACACACATCTATATATATATACATCCAACTAATATGGTGTTCACCCTATTGTTACCTCCACTAGATGGAGTAGGAAACTAAAGAACAGAGAGACTAAGTAGCTCATTTGAGGACACACAGTAAGTGCTAGACTCAGGATTTGAACCATCAATGCAGCTTGAGCATTCATGCCCTTAACCACTACACCAGAGCGCTACTCCATCAAAGATGACAAAGGCTTGAGATGGCACAGCGTGGCTAGAGGAGAGAATTCCTGATGGGCCTGCTCTGTATTTGGGGCTCCCCTGAAATAGCTTCTGGCTTCCACAGAGGAGGGTGCAGCATTCAATTCTGAGGCCCCTGAGAAAATAAACAAACTATAGCATGAAATGTTAAGGGGCTGAAAACTCCCAGGACAGGGCCGTGATAGGAAGGTGCTAGGGGTCACTTGAGTCCCGAGAGTCACAGACCTTTGGGGGATGGAGGTCATACTTTGGCTTGGGTGGGTGTGCACCTGCAAACTCTTCAGACCCAGGAAGGCAGAATACAGGGAGGCAAGAGAAGGGTGTGCCCCAGCGGGAAGGACCCTGGTTTTCTCTACTCATGGCCATACCTGCCAGGGAGGCTGAGGCCAGGGGGCTCCTAAGGTGCTGTGTACTTGCAGACAGAGGTGGGTTAGGCCCTGATAACATGTGGCCAAGGCCATGACCGCCTGCACCCCTGGGGCAGCTCCACTTTCCACTCTCCCAGCCATGTTCCTAGGAGGGATATGACTTGGTGGTGGCGGTAGGGGCGGGCGAGAAATAGTCCTACCCAGGGGTCCTCTAATAGAGAAGAGGCCCAGGGTCAGAGAGGAAGTTACATGTGGCTTCTGTGTAATGCATTTGGTGGTATGCAAAGCTGAACTTTGAGCTTGCTGCACCTGGGCAGAACTTCAGAGCCTCATTTTCTTCATCTTTAAAATGGGAATAAAACTCTGCCACGGCAGGGTTGTGGTGAACGTCAAAAGTGAATACTGGCTGCTAGCATGCAATTCCACACACTTCGTAACGCCATCATCGGACGTGCAGAATGACATCCGGTGGGCTGTGCTGTGCACTTGGAGCTGGAGGCTGGGGCTGCTCACACTGGAATGTCACACTGAACTTCAGTTTAACTCTAGCGCTGCTAGTTAGCGGTCAGCCAAAAACCAGTAAACAACAGGATCACTACCTGCGTTCCTTCGTCTCTGAGGAACTCAGAATTGTGTTTGCAGTCTGGAAGAAGTCACTTCGAAGCTTATGTTAACAGCACCTCCTGCTTGCTAAGGCAGGCGAGCTACGAGGTAAGGAGTACTTAAAGGCAAGCTGAAAAGCCCGGAAAACAAGGGATGTTTTGGGAGTGGATAATTCAGGGCTACTGTACATAAAGCAAAGCACGGAGGGCAAGATTGAAGCCAGGGTCATCATCCCAGACAAGGACTAGCCCAATCAGCCATTCCGAGGCCTGGCCTGCCTGGCATCTGTGCCAGCACCTGTTGGAAACGTGGCATCTCTTTACCATCCCAGAAAAAGCTTGGTCAGAGACAAGACTGTCAGGGGTGATGCAGGAGGGCTGGTAAAATCGCCATCAGAGCATTACAAAGAAACACACACATCGACCTTCCCTGCACTAGTGGAAAAGCCCAAACCTTCCTAAGGGGCATTTACACACAAATGGCTGGACAGACTCGCGCCATGCTGGGGCTTGGCACCAGAACCTCTCCTAGGCAGCTCGTGCAAGGCAGGCACCTTCTGTCCGACAGCTGCGTTATCCAGACCCACCGCGTGGGAGAACAAGCAAAACAAATGGTTTACAAACCCCGAGCACAGCTTCTCTTGGCCCCGACTGTTCGCATCAACATCTCTGCCACGCTGCCCTCCCCACTGCAGGGCACTGGTTCCCCCACACAGGAAGACCCACACTCACACCTTGTGGTGTTAAGGGCCCCTTAACTGGCGCTCATCACTGCTCAATTCCCCTGGATGCTCAAGACACAGAGCTTTTAAAAAGTAAGAGAAGGGGCTGCTGCCTCCCCACCAAACTGTCTACAGCTTCAGTGTTGGTTAATATTCTAGGAATTTCCACCAAAGTCTCCTAGATTTTAAGTTTTTGGAACTCTGAAGCAGTCAGCTGCTTAGGGCTGCTGCGTGATTTTCCTGATGGTCCATTTTTAAAGAGCTACCTATTGGTTTTCCCACACTTAAGGCATGATTCTCTCTCTTCCTGTCCCTTCACCCAAGATACAGAACAGTTGCCTGGAGTCCTTTGGACCTGGGGGTGAGGTCGGGAGAAGGAGGGCTGGTATTTACAGAGGGGACCACCACGAGCAGAGATGAGGGCTTGGGGTCTCACACTGGAAGGAGGGAGGCTGGGACAGGCGAGCGAAGCGACCTCTCCTGTCTAACTTCCCGCCACCCGGAGAAGAAAACTCAGAGGACCCAAGAGTGGGTTCCGCTTTGGCATCATGGAATGATGTCACCGCAAAGGGCCTGGTGTCCAGCGCCCCCGGGGAGGGGGTGTCGGGCCTCCTGACTGGAGGGTAGGGGAACAGGGGGAACGGGTTCGCGCGGAGGGCAACTCACAGAGGAGAAGTTGTGCGGGCCGCAGAGCTCGCCGCGGTACTTGCAGGAGAGCAGCATGTCCTCGAGCTGGTGGCCCAGGCGGTCCATGAAGGAGGCGCTGATGCCCTCGAAGTGGCGCGGCGGCAGGAAGAGGCGGAAGTCGGCCAGCTTGCGGAACCACTGGCGGCGCGGCTCGTCGCCCCGCAGCAGCTCGCTGACCAGCGGGCGCGCGGTGCGGTTGGGCAGCAGCAGCCCGAGCCAGTGGCCGGCGTAGTAGAGGTCCCCCTTGGAGAGGCGCGGGAAGCGCAGCGGGTTGTTGTTGCACACGGTGACGGCGGGGAAGGGCAACTGGCGGCTCCACTCGCGGTGAACCCGCGTGTGCGACGGGAAGCTGAGCCAGTAGAGCAGGCGGTTTGAGGACCAGGACAGCAGCAAGCCGAGGGACGTGCAGAAGGCCAACACCCACAGCGCCCGCCGCTGGAAGGAGCCCCCCGCCGCCGTGCGCCCGGCGCACATGTGCCGCAGCCCGTGCAGTTTAGCGCGGCTCAGAGACGGCCGCCCCCTGCGGGCGACCCCTGGCCCTTGCAGCGCCCGCTCGCGCTCGCCGCCCCTTCCACTCCCGGGCTGCCCTGCTGCCGCCACCGCCGCCGGCGCCGGCTCCTCGCGGGCCATGCGGAAGCGTCCCGGGCCAGTGAGCGCGGCCGCGGGCAGCCCGGCTCCGCCGCTCCGGCTCATTCATTCAGCCCGCGGCTGGCGGCAGCGGCGGCGGCCCCGGCCGGGCGGAGCCGCCATGGGAGTTCGCAGCAGCAGTGGAAGCAGCAACAGCAGCAGCAGCGCGCAGCCCGCGCCAGGGAAGCGTGCGCCCGAAAGGAGCTCCGGTGGCGCGGCATGCCCGCCCGGCGCCGCCACCGCCGCCTCCGCGGGCGCCCGCCCGGGACTGAGCGCCGCCTCGGCCCGCCGCCCCTGGCACTGGCCTCTCCCGGGTGCCTCCCAGGCTCTCCTGGCCCCTGGTCTTCCTGGAGGCTGCCCGACGCCGGCCACTACCTCTGAAGGGGCCCCAGTGGGCGCCGCCTCTCCAGTCCCTGGGCGCTGCGCCCTCCTCTCCTCGTCCTGTATGTACCTCGGGGGACCCTGAGCTGAGTCCCCTCTGCTCTGCCTAACCCCAGCTTTTACGCTGGTCCTGGGAGAGCAGCCACTCGACCACCATGCCTGATTTGGACATCCCCAAGGACCCCACCAGCCCGGCCCGTCGCCCAGCGGAGCTGGGACACGCGAGAGAAGGCGCCAGGGAACGAGCGCCCCCAGAGGCGCACCGCGGCTCCTGGCTTGGCGGGTGGGGTGGGTGTGTACCGGGGTGAGTGGTCGCCCTGCTGGCTGCTGCCCTCTTTCCTTTCCCTCCAGGACCCTTCTCACTGCTCCTCGGGCTGCGCTCGGCCGAAACCGACTAAGGCGCCCCCAAGTCCCGCGCCTGAGCTCTGCGTTGCGATGTGCCCGCTCTCGCCTGGGGCTGGGGGCTTCTTAAAGCGTCCTGCCGGAGGCTGCGGGCTGCTGGACCCCTTCAAGGCTGCTGGCCAGACGAAAGTGTCGCTTCTCCCACCGGCTCTCCGGGGTGCCTCGAGTCTCCAAAAAAGCCCGGCCTCGCTGTCCCCTGCCTCTTTTTCTCCTTGCCCCAGCGGCGCCAGGAGCTGGGGACTGCGGAGCCCCAGCTATATCTCTCGGGGGTGACCCGGACTCGTTGCTCCACGCTCCCTACTCCTCTCGAGACTCCAAGTCCGCGGTGGCGGCGGCGCCGGTTGCGCTCCTCTCCCGGTTGCCCAGCCCTCCTCGGGCCCCGGGCGAACTTGGGCAGCGGCCGCGCGATGCTGGCGCGGCTAGGCTTCGAGCACCTGCTCCTCCGCTCTCGCTGGCCCCGCGGCTCCCGGCGGGCGGGGCGGCGGCGGCGAGCGCTGTGCGCTCCCGGAGACGCGGTGCTGACGCGCCCGGCTCCTCCTCGCTGCATTTTAATTCCTGGCCACTGTGGCCGCTGCACACCGAGCGGGAAGCCTCTTGCTCGAGTCGGCCGGGTGGGGATGCACTGCACAGATGAGCCCGGGTGTGCGGGCGTGTGGGAGGGATGTGGAGTAGAAAGACTGTTTATGTGGGGCCGTGTGCAGGTAAGTGTGAGGGCACTTCTGATGAGTGAGATGGGCTGCAGAGTGAGTCACTGTGTCGTGAGGGTATTTGAACCAGTGTGAGTAGGATGTCATGTACTGAGTGTGGGTTGGATGTACTTGTGTGTGAACGGGGATTTGTGTGTTATCTTGAGAATGTGAGCTGATTTGTAGATGATGTACTGTGGCCGAGTGTGTGTGCTGTGTGGAGGACAGAGTGTCTGTGATGGTGTATATGTTCTATGTGTGTGCGTACGTGTGCACTTAGTGGGTGGTGGATAGGAATGGGTGTGTTGATGTGCGGATGGATATCAGGGTTTCTGGATGTCGTGTGTTATTGGTGGGTTTCGCATGTGTGTGTGGTGTGTAGATGAGTATGTGTGTTGAGGTGCTGGGAACAGAGACTGGGCCTCTGGCAGGTTGGGCTCTGCCTCATGCCTCTTAGGGACTTCCCACGTGTGGACTAGCCACTTCTCCGGAAGGGTCTGCTGCTCAGCCCTGGCCCAGTCAGCCAAGCCCAGCCCTCCCAGGACTTCCATATGACTTCCATGGAAAGAAGACTCCATCTCTGCCATCCTCACAGCTGGCATCCTACAGCCAGTTGGCTGATGATGTCACCATGGACAGGCCCCGGGGTCTTCCACTAACCCCTGGGCAGTGTGGGACAATTTCATTTCGCCTTTTTAATATTCTGCCTTGGTGTGTTTGGGAGGATGGATGAAGCATGGTGTGTACTGCTGGCTCCATTTCACAGGTGAGATCAGGGCGTCCAAGTACTTGCCTAAGGTCATACGGCCCTAAGTGGTGGATTGGGATTCCGCACCCAGGTCCCCAAAGCCTGGCTCTTTCTACTCACCACAGGGCCTTACAGTGTGCACTCTCTGGGCCAGGCGCCTTGAAGACGGGCTGGAGTCTTGCTCCCGTGGCTGCCTGCCAGTGAGTGGCACACAGTAGTTCTCTACCCATATTTCCCAAGTAATAGGCTCACTGAGGCCTCACTGGGATAGGCAACACTTCCAGTTCTGTTAGTCCATGGGACAAAGGAGTTTTCCAGACGTTTTCCAGAGAGTAGATTTTTTTTTTTGAGGAAGATTAGCCCTGAGCTGCCAATCCTCCTCTTTTTGCTGAGGAGGACCGGCCCTGAGCTAACATCCATGCCCATCTTCCTCTACTTTATATGTGGGATGCCTACCACATCATGGCTTGCCAAGCGGTGCCATGTCCGCACCCGGGATCCGACTGGCGAACCCTGGGCCGCTGAAGCAGAATGTGCGCACTTAACTGCTGCGCCACCGGGCCGACCCCCAGAGAGTAGATTTTGATGGGGGGTGGGAGGCAGGTGGAGACAGAGTGAAGGGATTCCTGAAGATGGGAGGGCATCTCAGTGAATTTAGGGGATTTGGGGCCTGGAGAGGAATTTCACCCACTTTAGGATGATTTGCTAGGGGCGCTCCGGGCAGATTTTATGAGCATCTGGTGTCTGAGTGATGCTGGGGTGGGCTTTCCCTCCACTGACCTGGAGGGCATCCTGTTGGCATGGCAACTCCCTGCATCCAGTCTCTGGAGAAGAGGGCATCTGAGCACCACACATCCCCACTCACCCATCCACACACATGCACGCACAAATGCACATAAACACGACACGTGTGCACACCAAACATACGCACACCGTGTGGCTGTTCTCATCCACCTGGGGAAGAAGCTATTGAAGATGGGCTTTGCTGAAATTCTGCTTTGAATTTGGTTCCTTGGAGATATCTCTTGCTGGCTTTGCAGGGAGGGTCCTGAGTCCGCCAGTTTCTCGGGGCATCTAACAAAGGCTCACACACCAGTGCTCCCAGTGGTCCTGGGATGTCACAGTGACACATATCCCAGCCAAGGTGGGGTGGCCTTGTGAGCTCAGGGCAGTTACTGATGAAGCAGCCAGGGCTAGCACATGCTGTCTTCCAGCATCCTAACTCTGGGTGGCCAGATGCCCTGTCTTGTAGAAACCTTGAGGACATTTGACGTTTCTAACTTGTTCGGCAGTGGTGGGCTTTTCTTTCCTGGAACGTCTCCCTTTGAAATGTACACACGCAGCTTTTGGTTGCTCAAGTGTCTTCTCTGCCGTGGGTTTTCTTGCTAATTCTCCAGATGGGTCGCTTCTCCAGAGAGAGGAGGGCTATCCTGCATAGGCTCCAGGGGCTTGGCACAGGAATCAGAGATAGACACAGGGACAGTTAATGACCCCGAGCAATGATCAGTGGCTCCCTTTATGGCACATGTATGCTGTGCCTTCTCTATGCTGCCTGAAAGAGCCCCAGCCCCTCTCCAGTTAATACGTGGACCAGCTTGTTGAAGTTCTACTCTTTCTTCAAGTCCCAGCTTAAGCGTTGGCTCCTAGGTAATTGCATTGCTGCCTGCATCATGGCTTTGTCATAGCACCTGGTCATTGCTTGTGTCTAGGCCTTCTGGATGGGAGCCTTTGAGGACAGGACTGCATCTCACTCATATTTGTGTCCTTACCTCTTAGCACAGTGCCCCGGCACATTGATGAAGCACACTGACACAGGGGAAGAGGGGACAGGGACTCAGATTTCTTGAATATTTCTATCTACCAGGCCCTGAACTGGGCACATAAACATACTCTATTCAATTTCTCACTCCAACCCTGCAGGGGAGGTATCTTTTGCCTACTTTTTGTAGTTGTTGGACCAAGGGCTCAGAGAGCAAGAATTGAATTCAGCTTGAACTCATTCCAAAGTCAGAGATTTTCCCTCTCCATCATGCTTCTTTCAAAAGTATTATGAATAATAATAATAATAATATAATAAATGTAGGACTTCCTAAGCACTAGGACCTGTTCTAAGTGATTTATACTAAAAACAAGTGTCATAAGTGTTCTAAGCATTTAATCCTCAAAATAATCCTTTCATGTAAGTACTATTATTTTTTCTCCTTCAAAGAGGAGGAATGCTTACCACAGAGAGGTTGAGCTACTCAGCCTAAGCCACACAGCTGCTAAGCAGGAAAGTGGGCTTTGAATCGAGGCAGTCTGGCTCTACCCCGTGCTCTCAAACCCTACCCCATACCATCTCTACCCTCAGAGCTGCATTGAAACGTGACAGCTCCTGTGAAATAGCTTTCCCACCCGGCAGACTCGCTTGGCCAGAAAAACAAATTCACGAGGCAATGCATGAGCTGACCCATATAACCCACCCAGCAAGAAATTAGAATTTAGCATTGTGATTTCCCAATAATAAGCTTTTAAGAAAATTTCCCCTTTCTTGTTTATCTCGAAAACAACTGTTGCTCACACCCGGCATCCTGGCCTTCGGTGTGATGTTTGTGGGCAGTGGCAGAAAGGCCTGCTGGCCAGCCAGCCCACCTTCTGGTGTGTGCCCACCACCACCAATTATAAGCTCTTTCTCCCATGAAACGAGTTTGTTGGGAGGGAGAAGTCAATTGAAGTCAACGCGATTTTCTGTCTCTATAATCCAGTTTTAGGAGCTACACTTTTGTTGGCTTTATCAGGCTTTACTGGAGGCCCCAGTGGTCCTGTTCACCCCTGATCCCTACTGTTCAGGGGCTTGACCCTGGAAAGTGCCTGTGATCCCACCTAACCCTGCCCCTTACCCCCTGTAGGAGTCCCTTCTACACACCCCTTGACTGGTAACCGATTCTGTTCCGGAATGTCTGGCAGTATTTAAAGCTTCTTCCTTTCATCAAATTGGTATCTGTCTCTTTGCGAGTGCCTCCCGTTTTTCCTAATTTATCCCTGGGGAACCACACAAAATAAGCCTGATCTTTCTTTCACATGAGAATCCTGCAGATCCTTTATGGAATCAGAGTACTGAAATGCTGAAAGGCCCTCTGGCAGTCTACCTTCCTAGCCAAGTCTTCAAGATAGTCTTTTCTTCTCCAGGCTAAATGGCCTTTGGGGTCACAGAGGTGGCTGCAGTGTCACAGGACCTGAGCAAATGTCCAGTAGTCATGATGGAGGGCCTGCACTGGAGAAAAGAGAGCCAGGAGGACTCTCCGCTGTGGCTTTTACTCCTCGCGCACTCACTTTTTCCCACTCCTTCCCCTCTTTCCCCGTGGGGCTGGCACAGGAGTGGCTGCTCCATCTTACCTTCTCGCTTGTGTCAGCATCCCCACTGCTTTTCCCTCCTGTTTTTGTGTTACACTTGGCGTCTCCTCAGTCTCTCTTCTCTGGGCTCTTTCTTAGACTTACCAGATATTTTTTTTGTCCTTTTGGTCACCCTTGTTTTATTGGGGTTTGAGCTCTCAGCTGCCTGTCCTTCACTAACACTAAGTCCTAGGAGAAAGAGGGCAAACAGGGGCCCACAAGCACCAGAAGATCAGGGCTGCAGGACCAGGTCCAGAGGAGAGGGCTGGCGGCTCGTGCTCCACAGGACTCGAGGGAGCTCTGCTGCAGCACTGTGCTCCATGGGGAATGGCAAAGCCTGAAAGGGGGGAGCTGGGTATGCAATCTAATTTAAGCCCTTCACTCTCAGGGGAGGAGGCTGAGGTCCAGTGAGGGGAGAGGCTTGCTATAAATCACACAGATCGGTACTGATAAACAGAACCAGAATCCAGATTCCAACTTCTGGTTCAGTCTCTGCTCACCCTATGAAATAACTTTTTTTTTAAAGATTGGCACCTGAGCTAACAACAGTTGCCAATCTTCTCTCTTTTTTTTTTCTGATTTATCTCCCCAAATCCCCCTTATACACAGTTGCATATCTTAGTTGCAGGTCCTTCTAGTTGTGGCATGTGGGATACTGCCTCAGTGTGGCCTGACGAGTGATGCTGTGTCCACACCCAGGATCCGACCCTGCAA